ATGTACTTTACTTATCTGCCACAAACCTCCCTGCTCAATTCTCCTCAGCGCTTTCAATGTGACCCTTAAACCAAGCGACCCCATGTTCTCTTTTCACATCTTTTAAAAGGTTTTTTTGTTTTTCCAAGCATGGCCTTCTTGGCCCGAGAGAACTGGAAGCCTTTCAGACCTATTGAGGACCTCTTCTTTGTACAATGGCAGCTCGTCAAAGCACATCTTGTAACTTTACCCTTCCTCGTATTTCTCACTCTTTGCTTTGAGAGGCTGGAATACAGATGAGAGGAACCACTTGGCTTTTCACAGAGGAACGTGCATGAGAAAGATCTGTGGTATTTACACCGAAGCCCTCCCCACCGGGTTTGTTTCGACTCAATACCTTTTAATTGCCTCTAATTGTTTGAAGCTTCACCATCACACAGCGACGCAACAGAGAAAAAAAGCCCCACACACAATCAAGTGCCTCCCAGAATGCTTTTCTCTGTCTCTTCCTCTCCTCAGTGTTGTTCCAGAGAAAATATGCCTGCCCTCACCCCACAACCTTTGAATATTTACATATGAAAATGAAGTTTGCTCTCCAGATTTAGCACTTCATTAGCTCTCATGGTCTGGCTCTTTGAAAAGGTTGCCCGCCGTTGTTGCGCATGAATAGACCTGGAATTACATTGATGTATGTTTAAATAATGAGCTGAACTCTACCGTTAACTCGCACAAAACGTTACAAAAGCCGTACTTTAGTCTAAAATGTGGCTATTCACGTGAAGAATACAGTATTTTACATGTTAGATGATAAATGCACAGCTTGAAGACCACCCTGAGCTTCTTTACCTAAAGTGAGATATCAGGTACTTCTTACGCTGCTCATCTTTTCCAGATGAGAGGAGCTTGATTCATTATATCAAATCCGGAAACCAAACATACGGTGTGAACATACTGTGATGGACAGTTAGATAATGCCTTCGACTTGTGAGATATCGAGTGGTTTTACTCAACAAACCTCGTGTGATTGTTCGGACGGCTGTAAGCTTGTTCTCTTGTTCTCCTTTCAGTCGAGATCTTTTCCATTAACCTTTTGAGTGACATGTGAAAACTGTCTGGCGAGGTGCTTTTGTGAGTCACTGGTTCGATTACATTGGGCTCGTGCCCCAGTTAGGCCAGGGTTATTGGTTTGGTTGTTTGTGGTCGGCTTTGAGTTGCTGTGAGAGTCAAACGGCTTTGAGAACCTGAACAATCCAGGCATTCAATGGGATGGTATACACACATTGCAGGTGCCTGGACTGTGAAAAAGACTCTCTCAAACTCTGTGTCTCGGATGATTGACCTTCCTAAAATAATCTAAAATCAAGTCCAGTTGCATTTGACAGAATTTCATTAGACATTCTTGCTTTTTCAGGCATATATGTCTTCGGAAACAGAGAGTAAAGGTGTAATAAAACTGTGGTGCATTTCATGTACGGATGATTTTCTAATTTTAAGCCTATCACTGTGAGGTAAATAAAATGTTAAGGCTGTTTTTGTTTTTTGTGAGAGTAGAAGAAAATGCTTTCACTCTGTTAGCAGTTTAATAATTTTACATCTGTTGTGCCAACTTTGGTGCCAGAGCCTGTGATCTCTTCATTACATATACATGTCTGTTGTCGTATGCAAGTACAACTTCATTATTTTAGAAATATTTACAGTACCGTTAAAACGCTTGGAGTTGGTATGTTTTTTTTTTATGTTTTGGAAAGAATTCTTATGCTCACCAAAGCTGAATTTATTTGATCTGAATTTTCAGCATCATTACTCCAGTCTTCAGTGTCACATGATCCTTTAGCAATCAGTCGAATATGCTGATTTGGTGCTCAAGAAACATTTCTTATTATTATCAATGTTGAAAACAGTTGTGCGTCTTAATGTTTTTCTATAGATGGATGGATGGATGGATGGATGGATGTTTAAAGTTTAATTCTGTGATACTTGCCATTTCTTTGTAATTGTGAAAATTTACTAGCAATTTCTGAGTGAATTTTTTCCAACACTACATTTTTAGTGTCGTTTCCATTCAAGTTTAAAATAACACTTGTCCCAGTTATATAATATTTTTAATTATTTTAATTCAACTTAAATTACAAATCTGTATCCTGTTTGTCACCTTAAATTCAAATTCAGGAATTTAAAAGGCCCTCTCAGTTAAGGTCTGAATAGCACACAACTCTGATTGAAATTGGTCATTTTTGTGAAGGCATTGGTCAACCCCTTCAACCAGCACCAGCATTTGAGTCTTCAGTAAGCAGTCATATATCCTGAGGATTACTTCACGATTACTACACTCCTGCTTTGGCCTTTGTCTGTAACTTCATTGTTGGTTTTGAAGGGGACGAGGAAAGATGTTGATTCTGGCCTGACACGGCCGGTCATTATTTGTGTGGCACAGTCAATTTATGCAGCCTAACAATAGACCCACGAGCCCCTCACGATCTCTAGAGCGAATGGTTGGTGGAGGATCTAATTTTCTGCTTGTCTGAATATGAATATGACTTGCATCTGCCCCCAATCCAACCCCCCCCAACACACTTCCCTCCCCTTCTCTATCTCCCTCGCTCACTTGTTTCGTCTTCCATGCTTTGTGAGTGGCCCAGCACTGACTGTAAAGATACCACACACACAAAGACATTATCAAACTTTCATTATGCCTAAGTGCAGTTAATTTCAAGGGAAGCATATGAAGCAAAGAAAATATGACAATTTATCTAAGCTAGAGCACTCAAACACCCGACTATCTTGAGCTCGCTCAACCGTTGTGCAGAAGAGATTACCAGAGTCTCCGGTGGACTGTTGTCAGGATGAATAAATAAATAAATAAATGAACCAGTATAAATAACCAAAACGCGTCATTTCAGGCCAAAACTTCTGAGTTGGGTGTTTAACACCAAATATATAACTATTTGTGAGGATTTTAAATCATAATGGCATGATACTGTGACTTTAGAAACCTGAAATCAATCTATAGGCTGCTGGGTAGGGAAATTAAATTCAGTTGTTTTCTTTCACATTTCTGCAGAAAGTAAGTGCACGGCTACCCTCCATGTCACATTTCGCACACTTTTTCCTACTTGACAGCCTCTGGCTACTTTATTTGTTTCACAGCACGTCAGACTCTCTTCCCGAAAGGCCGAACTCAAACTGTTGTCGGCTGTAAAGCTAAATTAGAGAGCTGGCTGATTTCTGCAGCATCTCCTGACGTACATGGCAGCAGTTGGAAGCGAGCACACGCATTGATTGAAATTCCAGTATCTTGTTTTTTTTTCTTCTTCTTCTTTTCAAAGGCTGGTTTGTTGTGTTTTGATCAGCACTGCTTATTAGGATCCCAAAGTGGCAGGGCTCCCTCTCAGCCATGACATTATTACATGGAAAGAGAGACAGACAGAGCGTCAGGAGGAAGCCAAGTCTCAATTGAGCTTGCAGGTTCACTCGAGCGACAGCCTTAACTTTCTCACTTTGGTGCTTGTCCATACACTTTAGATGCAGTGCTCATCTCAAAATAACTAAGAGCATTACAGATGTGATGTGAAAGTCAGAATCTGTCCAGCAAAAGTCATTTCCTAAACATTCTTAAAACAAGAGACACACATACGTGTATATATATATATTTATAAAATATGTATTATTTGATTAATTATAATAATTTCTTATCAAGCAAATAGAAATAGCAATGGGATAATAAAAAAATAAAAAATTTAAATAAAACAAATGCAGTTTTTTTCTCAAGTAAAAGTATGTTGTTTTTAGAATGCTTAGATATTTAGATATTTATTATATATTTAATATTTAACTTAAAACAAGACCAAAGTAGGCTGATGACAAGCCATTTTTTTTTTTTTTTGCAGTGTACATTTCTGCACTGCCTCTGTAAGTGTGTGTGATTCTTTGTTTACTCCAGCTCCCCATTTGTGCAGGAATATGGAAAAAACACAAAGCAAGGAACAGAGAGGAGACTTGCTTCCAGAAGTGGGCGGTAATGGAAACAGCGTTTTTGAATCATATCGCACTCAGTTTCAATTTCTCCCTCTACGGTGCCGCGAGACAAGAATGAAATGAAACCATGGCGGTGGTTTTTGCCCATACTCTCCCTCACCTTTCCTCATCCAGACACTCTGCTGCTGCTCCATTTCTCCAATGGAAAGACCTTTTTTTTTCCTTGTTCGAAATAAAAATCCATCACTTGTAGCTTTGCTCTGTTAAATCAGTAGAATTTGTTGGCTGGCCACCAGGGAGAGCGAAGCGTCTGTAGTTGTTGAAACATTGCCACCGTAACCCGAGGAATTGTGATGAAATTAGCATGAAAGCGTGTAGCTAGCATCACAGTGAAAGCAGAGGCCATGTTCTGTATTGTATGTGTAAGATGTGCCAGTGTGTTCAGAAGATGTTTGTGAGATTCTCATGAAGGTAAATATTGTTGTTCTGCAGACAAACGCTATTGTTCGAGTGCCGAGACATTCTGCAGCACTGAGTTTTGTGTGCTTGCATCATCCGTGGATGTGCCGCAGGAAGGAGATCATTTCATGCTGTGGTTTGCTTTGGTATTTAGGCAGAGAGATAGAAGAGAGAAAGTTATAGAGGGAGTTTGAATTAGTTTGAGAATAAGGCTCACGCTGATATAGACTCAAGGCAGTTTCTAATTAATTTTCTATGCTTCCCCTTTCGTCTGCGTTTGTTTTGTTCCTCTTGAAGGCGAGAGGCTTTTGGACCATATTTTTCATGTTTAAATATTATGCAGTGGTCTCATACCAAAGAACCAATAGCTATAATCTCTTATTGAAGTGACTGTCTAAACACACTACTCTTGGGGTGATATATATATATATAATCATGTTTTGGGGGGGTAAAAGAATGCAGTTGCTGTTCTTCCTAAAGAGGATACTGAGGAATCCAGCATATGGAGCCAGTATAATTGTAAAAACCAAAAGAAATGAAAGCCACAGAGAACTTAACACATTGTTTTGTGACTTTTGTTTATTTAGATCCTGTCACAACAGCAGCCAAGGAGAACAACACCAGCAGCACTAAAGGTAAAAACAAAAATGAAGAATATTTTTTGGCATTTTAGTCACTTTGAGAGGGCATGTCATGACAAAGCATGTCAAAGAGGAGGGAATGGGATCGAAATACTTGCATGCCAGATTCAAACTCACCTCGCCTGTATGAGCACCACAGCTCAGTTTGACTCCAATTTAAATACATGGTTTGTTATTTTATATTTCGTACAGATGAAAGCAGAGCTGTGTGTTTGTGCATTTTCAGATGTAAATTCATTTTTATGGACTTTTAGTTACTTTATTTATATGAAAGTTCGATAGAGAAAATACTGGAACCAGGATCAGAGATGTCACCCAGTCATTTCTGAGCACGTGCGTTAACCACTAGGTCACGATTCCAATTCAAATGCATGGTTTATTATTCATTCAGAAGAAAGAAGAGCATGAGTGGATGCATTTTTTTATTTGAAATGTTTGAATGGACTTTTTTGCCTCTTTTTATTTCTGTGACAGTTAAGAGGCACATGAGATAACAGGGAAAACTAGAGGGAACGGTCGTAAATCTTGCTTTTTTATTTATACAGAGGAAAGGAGAAGTTTTTTAATGTATTTTCAGAAGAAGCATGCACAGGTGTATCTCGTCACCCTGAGCTCTGTTGAAGCCTCTGTTGCCTCAGGCATAGCCTTTAGCATCCGTTGCATTTACTTCAGCTAGGAGAAGCACAGTAGCCAATGAGATGTCACCCAGTGGCGTCTAACTTTTAATTCTCTGATCTCGAGTCATTCATTCCCCTTCTCTCTGCCTTGTTCCCTCTCGTTCCCTTGTTTTCTCTGTCTCTCCTCTAGTTGATGTGAAAGCCCAGGACAAGAGCTCCCAAGAGCCCGACTCAACTCCAACAGAGAGCAGACCAAATTCCCAAGGTAAAAGCACAAAATCAATAGAAGCTGTGAGAAACATACTCATGTAAATGTCCCAGTCTCTTTCATTGTCCTCATCATTCAACTAAAAGCTCGCAACTTTTTCTGCCCCGTTATGCTTTATCCACATTTCCTTCACTTCCTTTCTCTCTCATTCACTTTCTCTCTGCTGATCTGGAACTGCGGAGTGACCCTGATTTTTCAGAGTAAACGTGTTGGCATGCCTCCTTAAATTGAGTTTGATGAATTACCTGCATGCCCACCTCACGGACATTAATAAATCAAACACAAAGCGTGTGTGATCGGAGCGCAGAGATGACGCAGTGCGAGAAAGCTGATAAATCATGTGTGATAAGAGTTTTGCTGTGCTGTCATTTCGGGAACCCTGGGGTCAGCTTCCCTCTTAGGGCCGCACATACAAACTCCCAGCATGCCATTTATATTCATTCCCTTTGCGTTTGAGAGGAAAATATTTAGTACAGTATCTTGTTGTGGGTATCTATACAAATGGAGGTATTGATTGACTGTATTATTGTATAGTACTTGATTATTGTATTGTAATATTGATGCCAACATGAAATTGAAGTCAAAACAGACTTGAAATTAGAGCAAGTTTGCATGAAGCAGGGATGTGATTTACCGACCTAAAAAGTGTGACCCAAGTGAATTGCGTAGATCTGAAAAAAAAATGTAGTTGGGGGTTATGATGATTGAAAAATCGCGAAAAGTCCTCAAACAATTACTTAATAAACTGCTAAATGTTATATTTTCTAAAACATTTAGTTCATGCACGCATTGCTTCTGACGGCGCCGCAGGACACCCTTAGTCTGTTAGCCAGGACTCAAAACAAGTAAAAATTGCCATTGGAACGGTGTTACTAACCTGTTGCCCAGTAACTTTTTTATGCCAGTGCATGGTTGTAAGAATGTGATATGGCTCAAATCACAACGGCCGCTGCAATCATATCAATATATAGTCTGATGCGCTGCATGTTTCAGAGTAAAGCCAAAGCACAGCACTGTGTTCATTTTCAATTCACAGTAAATGCTACTCTACATGTGCTGTGTGTTTGAGTCGTAGTATACATATAAAAGTGTGTGTGGTTGGAAGTGGGTGGTTTGACAAAGAAAAAAGTAAATAGGCTCAAGGTTTGTTTCACGTTGAAACAATTCTGTCAGTGTTGTGCATTAGTCGAGATTAATTGTTTGTTTGCTAGCATGTAATTCTTTATTCTGCTTATATGTTTGCTTTCTCCAAGACGGCCAAGGCGATGAGAGCGCACAGGAATGAGACGACAATCAGCCTCATTGGAACGAGTGCCGGCAAACTGTGTGAAGGCAAACATCACACCAATTTTGTCCCACGCCAGGGAGTCGCCCACAAGCACGGGGAAAAGAGTTGACCCCCACTTCATTCACCATCTTCTCTTCTATTCTACCTGTATTTCCTTTCCACTTCTTCATACTGATAATAAATCAAATATATAGCTATATAAAAAGGAACAAATGAGAGTTTGAATCAGAGAGAGTGCAGGGATTGTGGAGCTAGAGGAGGGCTGCTATACCTCACTTGACATGCTGCTTGATCAATAGTTGTTGTTGTTTTTAAATATGGCATCCTGGTGCTGGATTTGAACTGGTTTAAATTAGGTAGATTGGTCAAAACACATCCCAAAATCACCCTTACACTTTTAGTTACAAGCTGATTTGCAATACTATACAGTAGATGAAGTGCAAAGCCAAGGCTGAATTTTCCTTCCTGCAGAGCACAGTAATGTAAGATTCAGACCAAATATGATTCGGTGTCCATCGATTAAGATTTCTTTTAGGTGAAAAACACTAAAATGGCTGTAAATGTGCCGTTTGCGCACGAGTGAGTGTGTGTATATACCGATGATGTCACTTTAAAGAGGCTTTAGCTTCGTGTTTGAGCTTCAGAACCAAGTCAGGTCAAACGAGGAGAACATCGCTTGATTGTAATCTCCGATGGAGTGGTGACATTCCTCCCTACTGCACGCTATATAACAGAGGCGTTGAAACGACACGACGCTCGCAGAGCCTCCCTTTAATCTCTCAAACGAGCATTGATCACGTTTCATCTTCAAAGCTGCTCTGTCTACTGCGATTGCCTGTTAAAAAAGGAAAACCTCAGTTGTGTCAGACTGACGTGGTCGTTTTTGATGAGTGCGCTAACAAATCTATTCCCTCAAGTGTATCTAGATGCATGCCAGCATTGTTTGAAATGTTTTATTTACAGTCCCTCTCTCTCTATCGGTCTCCCTCCCTGTCACATGCATAAACAGATATCATTTGCAAGCTCTCAATATTTTTACCAGATTGTCTCTGCATTTTCAAAAATCTGCCTTATTTCATGAGATAGGTAGTACATAATCACAAACTGGTGATGGCAACAAAAAAATAAAATAAAGCAAATAGTATAAGTGTGTGGCTTTGAATGAATTAAATGCTAATTAAGATGATGAGTGATGCATTTCTTTTAAACAAATAAAACATGTTTTTCTGTCTTTTTGTTTGGGTTTTTATTTGGTTGTTTGGTTTTCTTGCATATGATTTGTTTTGGTTGATAATGATTAAAAAGTGTATTCAAAAGGTTGATTTACTCCTTTAAGTGGTGCCATACTGTATATCAGATGAACTTATGCCTTCATCCTTTGATGTTTGCTTTGCTATAAAACAACTATGAATAAAGTTATAAAGTTGTTTCCCTGGGCATGATGTCTGTGTGTTCTTTTGACAAAAACACAATAGGATTTTTCCAGTGGCTTTTGGATTACTGCAGAAAATAGGTTCTGTGACGAACAAAACATGTAAAAATCATAAGCGTAATAATTAATAATCATCACAATTGAACATAACTTTTACGAATTTTGAAGCATAAAGACAATCGTCAGAAGTCAAAAGCTACACCACTGTCGCATGACTTCAACATCACCATCACTAAACTTCTAGCAACTCTTTCAGTCTTTAAAAAACATTTTCCCTGAAAGTTCGAGTTTTAATAGTTTGCAAGAGCGTGATCATAAACACAATGAGGATGTGAAAGCAGACTAGTGAGAGATTGTTCGACTGATGATGTTTAATGTCCCCGAAAACCTCTGTAGTCCCATTTAGCCACTTTAGCAACAGCCTTTTACAAGACAAATAAAAGCTTTAAAAATCACAACGAGGTAATACTGATGTATTTTATATTGTAGAATAAAACATGAAAATATCTTGATCTTGTGTTAACCACTGACATTATTTCAAGCATTTAACCAAAAACCTGTTCAAAAAAACAATTGACTACTGGACAATGGAACCAGAAGTGCTGAAATGCTTAACTTGTTTCCAGGCCTGCACAAATACCACTCTATTATAATTCAATTTTCCTTCAGCATTCACTTTTCAGCCTATCCAGAACACTTGATGGAAAATATTTGTTTTGTGATTGAAAACTTAAAGGGATAGGTCAGGTTTGGAACAACTTCAGGGTGAGTAAGTAATGATCAAATTTTTATTTTTGGTTGAACTATCGCTTTAAGACATGGAAATTTGGTTAGTTTCCAATTTCCAATTAAAATTACTGATGCCAAAATTTCTTCCTCGAACTGATAATTTCACACCTTTAACTAATATCCTTGTGCAAGGGGCCTGAGTTATAAGAAAAATTCTAATCAAATCAAAACCATTTTGTTATTGTGCTACAACCCTAACCCAAGTTAGAGTTTCTAATATCAAACTTAATCTCCCAACAGTGTTTTGCACATATAATGCGCGTCACTAAACTCGAGATGTGATCCCTTGTTGACCCTTAGGAGATGATGAACTGCTGTGTGTTCATCTCCAGAGAGTTCCTACAACCTGTGGAGGCCTGGAGGGTATTCGAGACGGCCTGAATAAATGAAAATGTCTTTGTTACTAACAAAATCATCTGATGTTTATCGCCAAAATCAAACTTTAAAATAACTTAAAACATTTTTTTTTTAAGTAATATTAATATCTGCTCACTTTTTACAATTATATTCTTGTATTTGAACCCCAGTAGCTCATTTCTGATGTATTAAATTGATGGCGTCTGTCTAACTTACTCTCACCTGTCCTGCTCAGTGCTCTGTACAATAAGGACAACAGCCCTTAAATGTATGTCACAGGTAAACACATTTACCTTATCAATACCTCTCAGCAGACCGACCTCCACCACAGGCACAGAGAGACACATGGAGCCTGTTCACAAGGTTCTCATTGTGGTTTGCGGTAATTACTCTGCTGATAACTTGTCCCCAGGGCTGTTACTATGAATTATTACACACACACACACACACAGTAAATGATTTGTGTCACTTTGCTTTTCTCCTCAGCGAGAGGACACTGAATCACCAGGATGCTGTTGGATCCACAAGGCCAGTTGACTTTTAACGATCACTTGCTAGAGAGAAATTGAAAGGTGCAAAATTAGAGAATGTAACACGGTGGATTTGAACATGCAAAACAAAACATCACTTTAAATGAATCCATTAATAATTTGTTTGTGAGAAAGCTATCAAAAGGTCCAGGTTGTGGTGAATATGCATTACAATTCATAAATAAAATGGGCCAGATCTGTGGCTTCCCAGCACGAGTCATTCTTTTGCTCCCTGGTTCCCTGCTGCTACCACTAACACACCATATATTTCCATAACATATTCCCCATCTAGGTAGGATGAATAAAGGAACCCTGGCAGCCCAGCAGGACATTTGCACAGGACCCGTACCTCAGCTGTGCTGCATGCGATGAGGAACAGAGCAATGCAGCGAGAAAAAGAACAACCGAGAGAAAGCGAAGGAGATATGCAGCTCATGTGAGTCTCTTTGGCTGGTGCTGCATAATGTATCGCCTCTGATGCCAAGCTGTGTTTCTGATGTTTTATTGCTTTTGACAGTGTGTAGTTCTGGGAGGTGTTAGAACACAGAACAATGTTGTTCTGTACAGTCTTGCTCTAGATCATGCATACTTTGTAGCCATATAGCATCTAAATGATCTGTTATTCAGATAGTTGACCTTTTTCAACCATTTTTTGTTTTTGTAAACCAATTTGTCCTTTTTTATATCTATTATTGTAATAACTTAAAATTGTATGGGAGAATTTAAACTCGGTGCCAACCCAAGTAAATGTATGTGTTTGGTGTGCCTTTGTCTGTTTAGAAAGGCAGTTTGATTCACAAATCTTACATGTCAAGCTGTGTGTGTTTGATTCATTTGTCCGCAAATCAGATGGATGCAAAAGAGTGTCAGTAACCAAACAGTTGATGGATCCCATTGACTTCCATAGTATTTTTTTTCCTCATACTATGAAAGTCAATGGGGTCCCAACTGTTTGGTTACCCATATTCTTCAAAATATTTTCTTTAGTGTTCAGCAGAACACACTTTACACTTCGAATCCCTCTGTTTGTTTGGCCGGAAGCTAGTTAAAGTTTTAAATATGGATATTTTCCTTACATAAATGCATCGCTTCGCTTCAGAAGGCCTTTATTAACCCCCCGGAGCCGTGTGGAGTTCGTTTATGACGGATGGATGCACTTTTATGGACTTCAAAACAGACACAGCAATTCACTGCCATTATAAAGCTTGGAAGATCCAGGATATTTTATAATATAACTCCGATTGTATTTGTCTCAAAGAATAATGTCATATACACTTAGGATGGCTTGAGGATGAGTAAATCATGGGCTAATTTTCATTTTAGGGTGAACTAACCCTTTAAAACTATAGTGAAATGAACACAATGGATCTCAATCAGGATCAGTTTGATCAATATTAGAGTGTCCTTGTATAAGAAACATGGGGGGAACAGAATCCAATGGGGGTGAGAGAGAGTAAATGTTAAATGTGTATTGTTTATCTTATTTTATTACTTAGCACCTTATTTTAAAACAATTGTATTGCTATTAGTATAATACTTTGGCAATATTGTATGTAATAAAGAATTTAATACCTAAGTAAGTATTTTACATATATTTTACAAGTATTTCACATTATAATTTTTCTTAGATATCTAAACACATAACAAGCATTACAATGTGATAAAAAATCTTCTGCTTACTGTGGAAACACCAGTGGAATGAGCACTATAGGGAACACTAAGGTAACCTAAAGGGAAACAAAACTTTGACAGAACACCCGTTCATACAGTATGAAAAGTCTGTGAAACGAATTAAAGCGATTGTTCATGCAAGAATGAAAATTGTGTGAAACACACCAAAAAATACATATAAAAAAATTAAATCCCGACAGATTAAATCATGAGTAAATCGTGACAGAATATTCATATGGGGTTGATTTATTCTCTTACGAGTTTTCTGACCTCTCTCTGTAACTGTCATTGTGACTACACCGGCTCCTTTGTGATTATTCAGACGTTGGTGTTTAAACCGGCAGGTACAGTAGATCTGGGGTGTGGTTTACAGACAGCGAGACAGCATGAGTGCTGACAGCAGTGCAGCCTTGTCTCCTCATTTTCTCTTCCGGAGTTAAAAGCTTGCTGTCATTACGAACAAACCCACCTCTGGTTAAGTCAGTGGCTCTGGCATAAAGCTGATGAGAATCAAGATCACAATTATGATTTTCTTTCCATTTTATTCCCGTCATCCAGAACAGCAGTGCTTCACCCCTCTAATAGTCTCAAATTACAGGCTGGATCGCTCTGTCATTACTCGAGGACTCAATTAGGCTACTTTGTGAGAGGTGCGCTTGATTCCTAAATTACTATCTCTGCAAAAAAGACCTGAACAATTTCTATGAATAAGTCATATTTTTTTCGCTGTCTTCTTTTGCTCACTTGAGACTTGTAAAAATGTTGTTGTTTTTTTTTTTCATATATAGTAAAACAACTGATGCTATATTCACCACAGGTGTAACAAAAGGAGAGTAAAACTTTAAAAGTAAAAAATCTGCTCATCTATAGCTTGTCTTTCTCTGCCGTCAGTTCATTTTAATCTGAACATCATTTGGCCAGCTCTCCATTCATCTTACACACCTCGTTTAAAATCCCTTTTTTTTTTCTGATACAAGGCCATCATTTCTCCCGAAACCAATATAGATCCTAACCACTATATTCAAGACTTCCATCAGCCCTTGATAATGCTGCTTTTGAATATCTGTCATGGCGCTGTCACTCCGCTATAAACTTCATGCTCCATATGTCTATTCCCCTATATCCCGCAGAAGAAAATAAGAAAGGGGAGAGCGACAGAAAGAATGTGCCAGAGTGAGGAAGTGAAAGGAGAAATCAATTGGCACCATTCTAAAGAGTCTCAAACACGTCCTATCTCCAGGTGTGTGTCAGACAGAGACAGGTTTGTCCCCGGGGCCCCTGCCATGGATCCCAGCAGAGGACATCAGATTGCCTGACACTAAGCATTCACTTGTCACTCTCCTGAAGAGAGACGGGCCGCCTCCTGTCCAGTCGGAGCTGCTGGCATGATTGATCATCTAAAGATGGAGGAGAGCACAAGAACTGAGAAATTAGTCAGTGTTTAGTAGTAGCAGAGTGAGTACTGACCACCTGCCAGAAGAGTGATGGGAGCAAACTGTCTAGTCCATTTGATAGTGACCCAACAAATCACAGATGGGGATGGTATTTTACTGCATTTGCAAAATAGAAGTTCAGAGTGTGTGTGTGTGTGTACCTACTTAACTATATTTTTGGGGACACATTTGTACCCAGAATTGACCAAAATCTCCAAAAACCCT